CTCGATTTTTGAGAAAATTAAAGGATTTTAAGTCCTTATAGTGTGGAAAATACGTTATACAGAAGAAAAGAATATATCGCGATATATATCGTTACCACACGTGCTTCAAATTATATCACGATATGGGTTTTAGGCCATATCTACTTCCTACTTCCAGGCATGAATCCCTCCTTTCAGCACACTCCTACATGTTTTCAAATCCAGACTGTAGACATGCATAGAGTGTAAAAAAGAGAGAGATTTCACTGCTACCCTCGAGTCACCAATTAGTTTTGTATCTCTGTGTTTTGGGTTTTAGTGTTTTGGCTTTGTCCATGCTGATGTGACCGTACTAAAACAAATATGTGGAGTGCCAGGTTATCATCTAATGCTACCACGCTTAGTTAGCAATCTGCATCCATAAACTATACAGGTAGAACACAGGGGCACAGATTCCTGCTAATTAGGCTAAGCAGGTAGCTTGTCAGACATCTGGGCCTCACCTAAGTTGGTGCGACAGTCACTGGATGTTCCAAGTGCGGTGATGAATCTGCATAAAGATGTGGGCTTGAGCACAGCCTTGGTTTGAAAATGTGGAAACGATAGTGGAATTCAGGAGGAGCACCTCAGCATTGTCCCCCCTCACCTAACAGCACTGTGTCTGCAGTGGAAACCTTCAGGTTTCTAGGGTCCCAGTCTCTCAGAACCTGGAGCAACATACAATACTGACTGAATCTCCAAAGAGGCCGAGCAGAGGATGTACTTCCTGCTGCAGCTGATCTGTCTACACTCTGCTCATCCGTCACTGTATGGTTTGGATCAGCCGCCAAACAGGACAAGAACAAACTACAATGAGCAGTGAGGTCTGCAGGATTTGAACAAATCCAGAATCGACACACACAACCTTTTCACACTCCTCCCCTCTAGGAGGCGCTACAGAGCACGCACATCAAAACAAGCAGACATCTGTAGTTTCTTTCCAAAGGTCGTCACGCTGATAAACACATTGTCTCTGTACTCAAACATTCAGCATTCATGCAGCAGAAAGCATGCTGTATAATACATAAACTGTACAGTTGTTTCATAATTTATTGATTATTGAGCACAGTTCCTTGGTCCACATTCTTAGTCAAAAAGGCAGGTCGGCCTGACCTAAGATGTCTCTGAGTTGGACATCTTTTATATAAA